TTTTATTTTAAAGCCTAAAATATTTTAAAAAGTATAATAAATCTCACATGTAATATTCAATTATATTCAATTTAACAAAATAGAAATAGATAATTCATAGTGTTACTTTAATCTTAAAACATCTTTAGAAAATATATTATGATTTTTTTAATGAGAAAAAAAAATGAGAAGAAAGATTAAAAATATGTAGGTTAGACTAAATCTGATTAAATCTCCTATTAAAAACTCTATAATCACTAAAATAACAACAAATCATGTATATATGTCGGTTATTTTGGTTTTAAATGTTATTAGAAGTTGTATTATGTCATTTTCACTAAAAAGATGGAGAAAAAAAAGAGTCAAAAATATGTCGGATACAATAATTTTCAAAATTGCATGAATCGTAAAATCGTGAATCGATTGCGAATTGTGCGATTCACTAGAGATTCAATTCCAAAATAGATTTACCTCCAAAATAGATTCACCTATAGATTCGTATCGATTTTACAAAAATTGTGAATCGAATCGCGAATCGTAAGATTTTGATAACATAAATTACAATGTAAATGTGATTACAAGTAATAGTAATATTGGTGTAAAATATTTGTAGTTACCAAATATTTTTAATTTCTAAATTGGAGTCATAATCCTTTAAAAGTAGAAAAGTCTTATAGCCTAAAATCACGTGCTACGTTACACGAACTCGGGTGTGGGTATTGGGTGCGAGTGTAGATGCGAGTGCATATCTAGGGGTCGAACCAAGGTTTTAAAAAACGGCCGCAACCGTTACGTAATGCCGTTACGTAACGATTGTGGTGGTTACCACCACCCGTTATGGCCGTTTTTCAGTGTTATTGAGATTCACAGGTGTGTCGGCCGCAGCGGCTGTCGTAGCGGTTGTAACGACCTGTTATGCACCGTTACGTAACGGTTCCGAACTGTTTCTTTCGAAAAAACACACCAAAAAAAAGCTAAAAATGGAAGAAGAGGGAAGATAAAGAGATGAGATGGAGGAGCAAGAGATAAAGAAAGAGAAGAGTGAAGATAAAGAGATGAGATGGAGGAGCAAGAGATAAAGAAAAAGAAGAGGGAAGATAAAGAACATGTTATTAATTTGTTGAAGCTATAAGACCTATGCTATTCTATTTAGCTGCTATCACTCAACCATTTTGTTTGTGTGTGTCTATCTATATATTGTTTGAAAATAATAATAATAATAATAATAATAATAAGTGTGGTCATTATCTATTTGGCTTGATTAATATATATATATATAGGCTTTTATTTATTCTCTTACATTTGTCATTGTTTATCTTATATATAATAGTTAGTGATTGATTTTTTGTATAATATAAAATCATTAATTATTAAAATAAAATGTAAAAAACTAAGTTTATAGTGATTTAAAAATATGAAATATATTGGATCATACTTCTGAATTTATAAAAATTGATCAATATTTATTTTAAACCCAATAAATATGATCATGGAAAAAAAATATGCATATCGGTAAGTTTTTTTACAAATTGGGTGAAAAATAAAAAAATTCATGGTTTCAGTTACCGCAACCGTTACGCTACGGCCTTTACACCCCGTAACCGCAACTGCCACCGTTACGGTGGCCGCAACCACTTTTCAAAACCTTGGGTCGGACACTTCAAAATTAAAAATTGAAGATATGCGGATATGGATCCAAATTTGAATGCGGGTACGGAGATACGTTAAATAATTAGTTTTAAAATATATTTATTATACGAAGATGAGTTAAAAAAAGTTAAGGAATAACAAATTTATTAAAAAAAAATAACAAATAAAAATTATTGTAGGCATAAAAAAGTTATATTCTTTATGATATATTATATTATACAATATTTTTTTTTGTTGAATGATAATATGTAATATGAATAACATTATATATTATTATATTAATATAATTTATATTATATAATCCAAATCTAATTTAAAAGAAGGAAACAGAGAACAAAGAGGAGAAAACGAACAGGCGAGAGAGAGAGAGAGAGAGAGGGAAGAATGCAGACTGAGATCGAGAAAGAGAACAGAGAGAAGATAGAAGAGAGAGAGAGAGAGAGAGAGAGAGACCGACACCAAAGGGGAATCGAAGCCCTAGGATCATTTTCTGGGTGGAATCGACTTCGCAATGATCTCCTTCGATTCGGTCAAGCTCGGGTCTAGGGTTAGCGTTTCGATCTTGCTTCGCCACTTGACTTGCTTCGCAAGGTTGAGTTTTAGCCCTCTCTCTCTCTTTCTATCCATCTCAAGTTAAAATAGTCCCCAGCTCCACTCCCAACCCTTTCGCCATTTAATGCATGCTTGAACCTTTGATTCCAAAGCTGCACAGAGAAATCTAACCTAGTTGTTTGCAGAGAATTTCACCTTCTTCCTTCTTGCAAACACTTGAATTCTTCTTCTACTTCATGTAACCCTAAATTCTAGAATCTAATCCAACCCTAAACTCACCATAACAGCAAGTTTCCTAAAGTTGTCCATCATAGAACCACGACAATTAGAAATAGTAAGTGAAATTGTACATAACTGAGCAGATGTACTCAAAGATATAGAAACAAAAAAATGCCAAAAAAAAATAATAATAATATATACATATATATACGTCCTGGTTGCAGAAGAAATTATATCAGTTGTAAGCACTAATAGTAATATGATACAGTGAAAGCCCAGTAAAAAAGTGTTATTGAAATTTTGGAGTCCACACAGCTAAATGTAAGGAATATTTTTTTTTTTTTTTTTTTTTTGGGGTAACTTAAAATTTTATTCCACAAGAAAACACAATAACAAAAGTAACAAGGGCATACCCCTGCACTCTTGAAAAATGTTACGGATTTGATTGTGGGACCTTCATTATGTCAGGATAATAGTATTGCAAAAGCTGCCTAGGTCACTGAAACAGAGATAGAGATATCTCCCAACTTTGAGATGGAAAGAAATGGGAAGAGAAAGTTCAAAAAAAGGGAAAAGGCCAAGGGGAAATGAGAAACCCTGCAAAGGGATTGTAACCAAAGAACCCCAGATGCACAAATTATCAAAGTTGCTGCTTAGAATATTAGGGGTTTAACTGACCCTGTAAACCAAACATTAAGTCAAGAATCTTCTGAAACCCAATCTAACAGAGAAAAGATTAAGTAAGATAATCTGGAAAGCACATCTAATAATTGTTTTACAGATTGCAAGGTCAAAATATTGATAAAGAGAATATTGAATCGATATGGATATGCTCGGATGATAAGTAAGAGGACCATGTAAACATTTAAACGCCGCCATGTTACATGATACATGGGCACAATGGTGTGAAGGAAAGAAAAGCTTTACAAAATCATCTAACCCGATGAAATAAAACCACAAATGATGATCACTCGATTCTCATGGGATATTTTAATGTAGTCAGCGGAGCTCATGAAGAAAAGGAAGGCATTGGCATTACTATAGTGCAACTGAAACATTGAATAAATACCTGAGGGAACTTGGGATGTTTGAGATGAATGCTAGAGGATTTTGGCTGACTTAGAATGATAAAATGGAGGGATTGGACCCCATTTAAAGCAAATTGGACAAGGTACTCATTAATGACAAAAGGAAACAATTTTTTTTCGGAACCAAACCTAAATTTTTGCCACCAAATGTTCAGAGCACTGTCCAGTTGCCCTAACTATCAAGTTGGATTATAAGAATACAAGGGAATTGTCTAAGGAAATCAAGGTGTCAAGATTCTGATGGCAATTATATGATCAAAATAAGGATGACAGAGATGATTAAAACAAGATTTGAAGCATATCACCTTCAACGAAGTAGAAGCAGCATATTACAAAGGGAGGGGAAAAAAAAATTGTGGGAACAGAGCCAAGAACAAAATATCTTAGACCAAAGAGAGAATACTTTTGAAGAAAATAAAGCAATAAAAAAAAAACCAATTGGTTACTTCCAAAACCTACTAGGAAGTAGGAACAAATAATCATTACGCTGTAATTCCGAACAAAGACTAGGAGATGTGATGAAGCAGAAACTTAAAAGGAGCAGAAAGAAGATTTACAAAAGCCTGTTACTCCCGGAGAGATTTAGAAAATAAATAAATAAATGACAACAATATTTTCAATCAAAAGGGACAAAACACCTGTTATAGTTTCAACAGAACTGGGAGCTTGTAGTTGATGAATTTACAAAAACAGTATAAATTTTCTTCAAAAACAGGAAGAATATTAAAGGAATGGAATTCTACAGCAGTAGTGCTGATCCACGAAGTCAAAAATCCAGTTCAATGAAAATTTTCAAACCTATGTCTTGCTGCAAAACCATAGCCAAGATCATTACGGACATAATGAAGTCAACACTTCACATCACTGGTGTCCAGCAATCTATTTTCAAAAAGGGACAAAATTTACAGAAAACATTTTCTCATAAGGAAATTAGATAAAAATTACCTCAAGGAATCTCCACCTGAAAACAATGGAGTAAAGGTAGGTATAGTGAAACCATATGACTCAGTGAAACCAAGACTTCTCCTTGATCTTAAGTGCTGGAGTTCCCATAAAATGTTTGCTTGGCGGTAAAGAGTGAATTTTCAGAGTAAGATATTCCATTGTTTAAAATGGTGCAATACAAAGGCATTTTTAAGGGAGAAAGGGGATCAAACAAGATAACACCGTGTCCCTATACCACTTCTTACTGGTTATGAAAGCATTCACAGATTTTCTAGATTAGCATATTTAACATAAAGAAAGAATTAGAGTTCAATTTTCATCAAAAATGCCAAGAGACGGATTTTACCTAGTTTCACACACATTTTCCCTTTCCCTTTCAAAATCTCTTCCAAAATCACCCATCCAAACACAATGTTAAGGAAATTTTGACGCTTCAGCCCACAAATTATATGCATCATCCATTCCATGTGATGTGTATGAAGTAAAGAAAAATGAAGATAAACAGATAAATCAAACAATATGATTTATAAATTTTAATTTGATGTGTAAAACTGAATGCAGACGTACCTCAGATACGGTGCAATGACAATGAGCAACATAGTGGCAATCTTTACAGTAATAAGTTGGGTGGGCCAGCACTCTTCTTTCTTCGCAAGCGTCACGGTAAAACTCTGCATCATCATCTTCATCAGGATAGTCTTTAATTGGAGAACGGTTGAGAGTGAGGGTATGGACATGATTGAAGTACTTGAGTGTAGGTGGCAATATTGAAATACAATGGACATGGAGATCGAAGTGGCACAGCACACAACGGAAGAAAGGGGTAAGGCAGAAATGGCTACAAGTAGTGCATAAATATCATAATTTGGCTTGTTAAACAAAGCAAGAGGGTGTGGGTGAATTTTAGACATCATGGTTTTGGGCTTTGACAAAGCCCATCTAACATCCATGTACCATTGACACTGGGAACATTCGTAGATACAACCAGATGAATGACGTAAACAAGCCTCGCATTTACCATACCGATTGTCACACCCCAAATCCGGGCATGACCGGCCGTGGCCCACAGGGACTTAGCCCAAGGCGCACGTAAGCCTAAACACGAATCCAATCACATTGAACAACTGAACAATAGTCCAATAATAAATAACCAAAACTCAATCCAGACATGCCACAATTATAAACGGCAAAATCAACCGTAATCAAAAACCAACCAAACTTATGGGATATAAACAACCCACAAAATAAAATAATTCTAAATAAAACCCAATCACAAAGTATGCACAAAACTCGACAAAGCAACCTAAAAGAAAATTAAATAAATGCCCTAGAGGTCCATGCAATTGAGTCCCCGCTACGCCATGAGTCCACTCTAAGTCCATCTAACACCTGGAAATGGTAAACAACTAAGTCAGCTGATAGCTCAGTGAGTAGCAACATGGATAGTAAATACAGTTTTGAAAACAGGGTTCAATTCCAAAATAAGATATATATCACAGAAACTAGATTGGCATACAGTTTGGAAAATACAATCTGTTTCAAAAAGAAGGTTTCCACAGTTTAACACTTAAAAATTACTCATGGTCTCGCCAGAGAACATGTACGACATTTTCCACTTTTAAAACAGATTATAACATGAACACCAATAATTTTTTGGTTACCAATAAAAAACAAATAATTCTGCCCACACATTTCTCAGGCTATAAGCCCCGTTTGGATTCCAATACTGAACTAAGAGTCATCCTCGGTGGGCACCTCGGCCTTTTCGCAAGACGATCCGATTGAAGGTCACCAGTTGTTTTTAAAGGTCTTTTCCTTACAATGCGTTGAGCACTAGAGTCATCACGGCCCACCCGGATCTTGTTCCCTAGTGGCTAGAGTCACCACACACAGGGAATAACATTTCCCTGGCTAAATCACACACATGGTCTCCCAATAATCAATACACATCAGTTTTTTTCAGGTAAACATGGTGGTTCATCATTTATAAAACATGAGACCAAAACAAATAGTTTACAGTATGCAATTCACACATGTCTAAAAAATAATTTGATTCATTGATAAGATATAATAATTTTATCAAAACAGTTTATCTTGAAACAACAATTTATTTTCCAACGTTCAAGGGGTAGGAGACATTTATAAAAATACGTAGCATTGAAACTAACTCCACCTTTGAAAACGAATAATATAACCCTCGAAGTAGGAGGTGAAAGTCAACTAGTGCCACTAGAACTACAGTTATAAAAAAACTACGACGTCACTACTAAATTTAAAAATACTAAAGGATATGAACTAAAGTAACCTCAACTAAAGGCACTAACACGGCTCAACCCAACTCACCGTACTCTTAATATTACCTAAGTTCATGTTCTTCAAGGTTTAAAATCACCCAAGACATTGGGTTCCGAGTCAAACTTAATTAATTGTTGACTTTAAGATAAAAACAGGAATTTCAGAACGAAGCCTTACCAACGCTATTCGCTAACTTTGAAAAATTACAGAAACCCCACTCCACGCTATTCGAAAAATTCCGAATAACTCCCAGATATGATCTATTATATCCTAATAGTTTCAACACCCAATTAGTTTTCACTTGATTTGACTTATCAAAATACATTATCTACAATTTATTATATCCAAAAGTTGTTTTTCTGCAACACTTTTCAAAGAAATTGACGGTTCTCTTAATATACACGAGAAATCAATGCAAGGCCAAAAACAGACGAAACTAGTCTCGTAACCGGTTCTAATGACACTAATTTGATAATTTTTGGATTTATACCCAAAGAGAACAACACTCCCGAATTTACTTTTTCGGACTGGTTTCCTGGACAGATTTGAATACCTCAATTTATATGGATTTTGACTCCCAAAAATTATGAAAAAAAATCAGAAATGCAATTCAATATGTAATTGATCTACTGTAAAAATTTCAGATTAAAATTCATCCGTTTGATATGGTTTCTTGATTTTTAAAGTTTACGATTCTGTGCAGAATTTTTGAACTAAGAATTATACTCATTCTTTATACATAAATTTAGCTCCTCAGATTTCTTAACAGTGTATACATATATTTACAAAATACATAAACCTACAACCTCTCCATGAATGAATAAAATAATTATAGAATAAGGATGAAGAACAAAGAAAGAAGAGAAGAAAACCTAGGAGGACTAACCTTTGATGATCACACACAACACAACACACCCAAAAGTTCTCCTTCTTGACTACAACAATAATCTTGATGATTGAAAAACCCCTCTCTTTCCTTCATAAACCCACGGCTGCTAGGGCTGCTAGTGTTGTGGAAAACAATTATAACAAGAGTTAGGGTTTGTGTTTATTTTATTTTATACTAGTGGTGGGCACACTTAGGTCAAATAGATAGATAAATATACAAAATACATATATAAGTTACATGCAACTCAAATGGTAAGAGCCTAACTTATTAATTTTATGGTCTAGAGTTCAAATCACACCCTCTTCTCTATTTTTTTTTTTTTAATAATAAATCTTGCTTCTAAATCAATGACTTTCACCATAAATTTATTTTAGGTTTTAAAATTAATTAAAAGACCCTCCAAATATTTAATTTGCACCTTAGAAGTCACCACCAAAATATTTGAGATTGTAATATTATTATTTAATTATTTACTTAATTTTTATATTTGGGTTCTCACATATGGTAGCGGAGGGTGAGAGTGTGCATTGGGTGAAACATGTGCTTCATTTCGTGGGGCAAATCAGCACATGATTCGTGCAATAAAACCTTGCATTCGGCGCAAAAGCAAATCGAATCCCCCAAAGGAATCTCACACGCATAGCAACAAATTTCAAATTTCTGTTTGTTATCACATAAAATCAACGGATGGTGTACAGGAAGCAAATATTCCGGCAAGCCCGTATTCCTTTCTTCCAAGCTCCTGTCTGTTCGATCGATCTGCGAGCACAACAGTGGTGAGCTACCCGGCGGTGTGGCCGGAAAACCCTCCGATGATCAAGTTAGCACACACCTTAGGATAGGGAGAGAGGAGTGTTTGAGTGTAAGAATTTCCTTACAAAAAATGTTTATCTACAGCAAGGGGGGCGCAGACTCGCTTACATACCTTCTACGCCCCAAATCCACTCCCATCCGTCTCTCGACACGTGGTGCTGCTATCCTATCTGTCAGCACAAATCTTGCTGGGCACCACCTAACCCAACTGCCCTCCCATTCTCCTGGGAGCTCGGCAGCCGGTCAGTACCATCTCGGCCATCGTCTGCCATGCTGCGCTTCTTGCCCAAGTACTCCAACAGCTAAGCTCAGATGGGGACCGGACTCGGCGGTATTTCGGCAAAGCCGAGCTCGGGACAACTCACGCTTGTCTGGGGTCGACCTATCTGCCGAGAAGACAGGTACCCCGGCTTCATAACCACGGATCCTCGCAGCTTGTTCAATCCACGCGCTGCCTTAACCGAGCAGCTTCCTTCACGGCCGGGCGCACAACTTGGCCCAACGCCTGTCCGGCCCAAATCTATCCGGCACAACTCTGTCCAGCCCAAATCTGTCCGGCATAACTCTATCCGGTCCAAATCTGTACGACATAACTCTGTCCGGCTCAAATCTGTCCGGCACAACTCCATATCATTAATCTCCCTCTCAATTGCCCCTTAATTCCGTCCGCAAAAGCGTGACTGGGATTACATATTCCGAACGGGATAACACTTCCTCGGTCCTCAAGATACGAAACGGCGACCGGGCTAGTTGGCTCCTATCTGCGAAATTCGTTCGCTCCTACTCCTCGGTTGACGTTCTCTTCTTCAAAAATTTCCCGGTTGTCTCCTCGACTCTTCAACCTGTCCTTTCAGTTCTGACGTCGTCATAAATGGGGATACGTGGCAGGCTTCCATTAGACCTCGAGCAGCCAACCCAGCCATCTGCCAGAATTTGACTTCTTGGCGGTTTCTCCCTCTATACATACAAGCCCCCTCTTCCTCATTTCGCTCCTACTGCCTCTCTGCAATCCGACGCTTCAGAGCTCAAGCACCTTTCTCCAAGCCTCGTCTGCCATTCTTCGTGCTCGAAGGAATAGTCCTCCCTGCCCTTCACTGGTAAGTCCTTCAACTCCTCTTTTGTTTCTATCTTCTTAAATATTTCACACATTAGGGTACTAAAACATAGTTCTTAGGACGTAGGCCATAGAAGTCATCCCAAACCTCCCACTGTTCATGGTGTTCTTCATTTTCGCTGATGAACTTCGAAGAACTTGGGCAGACCGGGCTCCAGGTCTTCGTTTGATCCAAAAAACCATCTCGACCGAGCAAATAACCTGTTAGATATAACCATAGCAAGAACCAGGATAACAGAGGTCTTGGCCGCTCAACCGGGCTAAAATCTGGTCTGCTTGGGCGGCCGAGCTCCTTGTCAGCCTCTACGACCGATGTGGTTTGGCACTCTAGACGACCGAGCTAAAGTCAAGCTCGTTTTGTGCGACCGCGCTCCCTCTTACACTTGCCCTCCTTTTCCTGCAGAGTCCAAGGGGACCACTGTCCAATCCTGAGGCTCCCAAAGACCAAGCAGCCACAAATCACCTGACAGTGCCAAACCAAAGCCGAGCTAATTTAGCCGGTCGTAAATGGGGAAATTCCGCTTCCTCGTAGATATTCCGGCTGCCCTAGCTGCGTTTAGGGAGGAGTACGGCATCCCGGCCGACGTCCACCTTGAGCTCGCAGAAGAAGAGACCACGCCTTGGGGCAGAACAGAACAATGCCCCTTTACCGTGCTGTCCATTGTCGAAGGAGGCTTCCGCTTCCCACTCAACCCACTTATCACCGAGTTCCTCCGCCGCACCGGGCTGGCACCCACACAAGTGTCCACCAACACTTACCGAATTATCAACGGCGTCCATGAACTGAACAACCGGCTAGGCACCAACTTAGGTCTAGCCGAGATATTAAGGCAATACACGATGGGTCACACCGGTGACGATCTAGACTATTATTTGAAAATCAGACCGGGCAAGGAGAAAATTGTAACTGGCACCCCGGATAAAGACTTGCACGACGACGATTTTTTCTGGGTGTCGGACAATTACGAAACAGCTGAGGTACCGGGCTGGTTTATAAGCAAGAACTTCGGTTCCTCATGTAAGCCGCTCAAACTTGCTCGGTCAGCCTACCTTCTTTATTCTGCAATTAACCAGTTTTCTTGTTTCTTTTGCAGCAATCCAAGCCTTGCAAGCCAACTACCAATTTCCCAACATAGAGGCAATTCGGACCGTGCTCCGCCATCGCCATCGAGATTGCAACGAGCTGCTCGGTTACACTCCAACCTACAGATACTCTGCTCCCCGCCGGAGTAAAGTTAGAGACTTTCTCCGTGCTCCATCACCCCCTGCAGATCCAACTTTGCCAGACGTTCCACTAATTCGGTTGACAGAAGAGCAAGAGATGGCCAAACGAAGCCGAATCAAAAACCTGCTCACCGCAACGTCTGCCGAGATACCAAGCGTCGTCACCTGCTCTCCAGCCGCCGATCAGTCAAGGGGCGCCGTGGTCGCCCTAGCTTCTCAAGCTGCCGGGGAGTCAAGCCAAGCAACACGCCGGGCTGGCAAAAGAGCTCGCGCGAACCCGTCTGCCGAGCTGATTACCGAACTATCCACCGAGCAACCTTCCATCACAGCTGACCCAACGCCGGCATGGAGACCGCAGCTCAAGCACCGGGGAAAAGAGATCCCGGCAACGGCTTCCATCAAGGGAGACAAAGAACATCTTCTTGCCTTTGATCTCTCCAAAGCCCTTCTTCTGCCGAGCGACGTGGTTGGCAGCGACCACGTTCCTGACACCCGGCTGGTGAAATCAGCCGTGAAGTCTATGACCAGGGTAAAAGTCTCAACCTTTTACTCCAATTTTCAATAGTGTTTGCACGGTTTCTTCTTCTTCTCTGATCAGGTTTCCTTTTTGCAGGCCATCCAAAAACAACACTTAGTCATGGAGCGCATCCACCGACTTCGGCAAAAGGCAGCCGACACTGATAGCCAAGTCCAAAGCCTCCAAGCCGAGCTTGGCCGGGCAAAAGCATCTCTCTAAATCGCCAATGCTGACAACAACAGGTTGCACGGTCAGCTTGACGAGGCCGAGAAGAAGCGCGATGAGCTCTAGGCCGAGCTGGATGCTCTAAAAAAGTCGAGGAAGAAGGACTGCCGAGAAGGAAACAACGCCGGCTTCCTAGAAGCCGAGGGAAGCTACAAGAAGCAGGTCTTCGCTACCCAAGACATCTACTTCAAAGCGGGTTGGAAGTCTGCCTGCGAGCATCTTGGTCAGGGTCCTGATACTGACGTCTTTGCCACCCCGCCACTTGCTTCCCTGCCGGCCTACCTCGTGCCATATGCCAATGACGTCTTTAGTGCGTTGCAGGCTGAGGCCGAGGAAGGGCTTGAAGAGGAAGAGGCCGGGGAAGATACTGACGGAGAGGAGCAACCAGAACAGGAGTAGCCCGGCTGAACTGAGCCCGGTGTTGAAGACCGATCTCCAGCAGTGAACTTGGAGACAACTCCGGATGATGAATTCACCAATCTCTCCCCCTTAGCTTAGTTTTTTCTTTTTTCTATTGCTCTTTTTTTTTGCTTTGCAAATGTAACTGGGCTCTCTGCCCCTCCTTTTGTATTAACTTTCTATCAATGAAAAGCTTTAATTGCATCAAGTGTTTGCACAGTTTTCTCGAACTCTATCTTCAGCAAAACATCTCGGTTTAAATCACGAAGTTGCACAAATCACCAACTAGCTTGACCGGAGTTAACATCTCGGTAGATTTAGTAAAATTGAGGAACTTCTTCAACTGGAATAAACATCTCGGTGGGAACAACAAAGTTGAACAAATCACTAATTCTTTCAACCGGACTAAACCATCATGGTTGAGCATGCCTAAACTGAACCAAACATCTTGTATAACCGGAATACACCATCTCGGTTTTAATTCTGATAGAATTGAACAAACCATCAACTCCTTCAACCGGAGTAGGGCATCTCGGTTGGAATCTCTGAGTTGAACAAACCATCAACTTCTTCAACCGGAGTAACTCATCTCGGTTGGAATCTCTGAGTTGAACAAACCATCAACTCCTTCAACCGGAGTAACTCATCTCGGTTGGAATGCCTGAGTCGAACAAACCCTCAACTCCTTCAACCGGAGTAACTCATCTCGGTTGGAATGCCTGAGTCGAACAAAACATCAACTCTTTCAACCGGAGTAAATCATCTCGGTTGAGAATACCTAAGTTGAACAAAACATCAACTCTTTCAACCGGTGTAAATCATCTCGGTTGAGAATACCTAAGTTGAACAAAACATCAACTCTTTCAACCGGAGTAAATCATCTCGGTTGAGAATCTCAAGTATTCAAAGCAATCAATCAAAATGCTAAGGCAAAGAAGACACCTCTATATATTGACAAAAAGAATTACATTCTGAAGTGTAAGGCAAAAAATTCCTTTGCATAAAAAGAATACAAAAGCTAGAAATAGTACAGTTTGAGGTTGGCCACATTCCATGGCTGGGGTATTCCTTTACCATTGAGATCCTCCAAGTGGTATGCCCCCTTGCCCGCCAGACCGGTTATCTTGTAGGGTCCTTCCCAATTTGCCCCTAGTTTGCCTTCACCTGGCACTAGGGTGTTGCCCATAACTTTCCTCAAAACCCAATCACCTACTTTGAACGGTCTGGGGTGCACCGTTTTATTGTACTTCCTTGAGAGCTCTTATTGGTAGGCAGCGATGTGGATGAGAGCCTTTTCCCGGTGCTCTTCCACCAAATCAATTTCCAGAGCAATGGCCTCGGCGTTTAGCTCGGGTTCAAAACTTTCACTTCTGAGAGTGGGCATACCTACTTCCAAAG